TCTCCATTTCAGATGCAGTCTTATACAGGCTCATTATCAGTAAACCCTACACAGGTTTCCTTCTTCCCAAGATGCAGTTTTACACGAGCTCATCACCAGGAAGCCCTACACAGGTTCCCCTCTTTCAACTTACAAAAATTACCTATCAACTGTCACAACTCCAGATCCGATTCCTGTATCCTGCCAGGGTGTATCTGTTGACGGCTATTTCCGGATTCGATTCCTGTATCTAGCCAGGGCACGTCTGTGAGCGACTATTCGTAGATTCGATACCTGCATCCAGACAGGGCACATCTACATAAAGAATTTGAAGGTCGATCCCAGTAACAGGCCAGGTAAGTATCTTTCTTTTTCAGGTACGCAAGTTCTCGCTAAGGAATCTCTTACGCGATCGACATCTCCAGATGGCATCTATAAGCCCATCCTCCTATCCAGCATCTCTCCAAATGGCATCTGTAAGCCCATTCCCTGCATCATACTGCTGACATTCCACTATGTGAGTGCAAATTTCTGGGCACTCTAGTGTTCAATCATCTTCTACCCTCGGATTACGAAAGGCACGCCAGCCAATCTACATCCTCATGTCTAAGAAGATTGAACAGGGGCAACTGTTGTACCCCAAAATTTGCCCTCCCATATTCTTCAAGATTTGCCAAGATCAAGGTTCAAAATCTCTCAAGGGTTGCACAGTCCAATTGCCTCCTAACACAGTCAAAATTAGGGTTTTGGTTCTGGCAAAGAAGTTGAAGTTTCCAAGGGTCCAATCATGTCCCACATGCCCATATACATTGTCAAGCATCCATATGCCAAGTTTCAAGACTCACAGCATCAAATTGCACAGTCAAAAACCCTAAATGCTTCACAGTCAACTACAGGGGCAAAATGGTCATTTGACAGTCAAAAGTCAAAATTTTTGGTCAACATCTTATTTTGAAGCCACAAACATCATTTGATCAATTCTTGATCATGATTTCACAAGCATGGCTCAAAAAGTCTCAAGATGCAAAAGTTTCCATTTTTGGACAGTTGAAAAAGTCAACTGCAAATTGACCAGGGCATAACTTCCTCATGGTTTATCAGAAAAATCCCATCCAAAGCTCATTTTGAAGAGAATGACATTTCCCACAACTTATCTTCACACTTCAAGTCCAAGAAATGATCTCACAAAAAGTTATCAATTTCAACATTATAGGTCATTTTCAAAAGTCAACAAAAAGGCACTTTAAGTCAAAGACCATAACTTGAGGTTGGTAAATAAAAATGACATGGGACCAAAGACATTGGTTAGAGGACTTCAAGACCTTTCCAAAATGTCCAAGAACATGATCATAGCTTCAAAATTGAGCAAGATATGCCTTGTAGAAGTTGGGAAATTTTTGGGAATTTTTAAAAGTCAACTTTGCACAAAAGACTTCAAAAATGCTAATGGGCCACAAATTCTTCCATGAATCATTACCCAAAGGCTATGCACGACCCATTGACCTCAAAGGGATGTATTTTCTTATTTTTTATTAATTATTTGAATTTTTAATTTTATTAATTCATTTAATTAAATTTAATTATAAGAAAAATATTAAACAATGGTTTTAAATCTTTTTTGTGCAGCAAATATGTCCATTATGAGCTAAATATCTCGTGCATCAATCAACAAGGCCAAATCTTCCATAATTGGCATGATTGGCATGGAAAAAGATTGGAAAAGATATGAACAAAATCAAATATCAAAATCATAAATTCATGGACTATGGACTTGGTTTTTTGACCTAATTTCACTCAAATACAAAGGCACAACATAACCTAATGCTCAGACACACGAAAGCTGCTCAGAAAAGAGAGAACAAAATTGCCAAATTTTCACAAAAAATTGGAAACTGAAATCCTAGTTACTGCACAATTCAAAGCTCCAAAAGCATTCCAATACATTGCCAAAGCATCCAGGAGTCGATTACAATCAAAACCAGGTCTCCATACCCCAAGAATTGGTAGAACAGAATCGTCTTCTTCACAAATTTGTCCATTATCGTTTTTCAATTCTCATGCATTATTCACATGTTTTAAATGTTGATTCTTACTAATATTGATGTTCTGAAGCGAATGGTACCATTTAATTGAATTAACAATGCTTGAACCAAGATCTGCCATTGATGGATATTAGGGTTTCAGGAGCTCTAAATTAGGGGTTCCTTCATATGGCAAAATCAGACCACCAAACCTATGCCAATGGATTCGTGACCTCAAGACGAAATCAACCAATACCTCGCGCCCTTTTTATATTTGTCCATGTGCTATTCGCTATTTTTGCAGGTTGTATTTAGTGGGGGTTTAAAACCCCCGCTATTTGTTTATATTACAGGGACAAAGATGAAGACGAAGCTGGCGTGTCAAGACATGACTGGGGGATTCAAATACTGGCGCACAATTTTTTGTGTACACCACTAACGCTTGTTTTCTTTTTATAATAACCACTCTTCAGTATATTAACAAATGCGCTCAATAGCTCAGTTGGTGGCTGAGGTAGCTTGCAGGTACTGGGACCTGGGTTCGATTCCCAGGTCCCCCCATATATTTCATATCTTTTTCCTTAATGTGTTTCTATGCAGCACTTCATCCAAAGTCCATCATGCACGTTCACATCCAAGCCTGCCACGCGCCCATGAGCTTCAATCCAAAGGCTATAAGAGGATGTCTACCATGCACGCCAGTCAATGAACATGCACTCTATCCTGGAAAGTCAAACAGGGCCTTGATTCAATGGGCCAAATTTCTCAAATCATACCTCCCTTTGGGTTTGAATACCCCCATGGTTTGTACATTTTTAATTTTTATTTGATTTTCTTTTCTAATTCTTTTTTAATGTTTTAATTATTTCTTTTTACCATAAAATAATTTTCACAATAATAAATACAGAAAAATCAAAAAAAATGTTTTATTGTTATTAACATTAATTTCACCATTATTTTTTGTAAATAAACTTTAAATAATAAATTTAGTTAATTTAGGTTTTCAATTTTAATACTTTTTCTTAAATAAATAAAATATGTAGAAATTAGGGTTTCTAACCTTTTTATCCTTTTTTCAATAAATAATTTTCTCATTATTATTAATATTATTATATATCTTTGTAAATAAATATGTAAATAATCAATTAGCATAAATTAGGTTTTAAACTTTAACCTTTTCTTTAATAATTAAAAATATTTAGAACTAGGGTTCCTTCTAATTTTAATTCCTTTCTTATTTCATTAAATAACAAAAACATAAAAAACATTCCTTTCCTTTTTAATAAAATAATTAATTAACTTTTAATTTCAATTTAATTTCAAAAGGGTCCAACGCCCTCGAACGTTCAATTTTGGTTTCTATTTCGCGCATTATTTTATTTTCTTGTGAATATTATGTAATTGCTCAAGCCATGTAATAGTAATTATGAATTTATTTATTTTCCGCATTTTTTTTATCAAACGGGTCTTTGTTAATTTGGCGATGTATAGACCCGCGCCTTGTAATAGCGTAGGATTTTACTTTCCGCATTTAAATTTCCGCACTTTTAATTATAATTGCATGAAAGAATGTATGGCCTAAATTAAAAACAAGCGTAGATCACCATGATACATGTACGAGATAAAACATAACATGAAAATAACACACAAATTCACACACCACTCTTAGGGTACGCCTCACTGTTGCCTTGCCCTCGAAACGTGGTCGTCGAGTATAGGACGTTTTAGTAAGTCCTTATGTCCATGATCAATGGCATAAGGGTAGCTTCTAAGGTGTCCTACTGTTGCTCTGGTGACCACACTGTCCCTAAAATCGAATTGACCCGAACACCTCCAACGGTGGTGCTACCTACCTCTCAATGGTGGGATGGCACTACCTCAAGGACATTTACACATCCTAATTCCTTAGGGTAGGTAGATGACTCGTAGATACTTGCTCTATTCAAAAACAAATCAAATTCTTTTCACACCGACACTTTTCAAAAAGCTTTCAAAACAATTTTTCAAACACTCTTGAGGACTGATACAAGAGTCGATCTGAAATCTTTAAACGAAACTTTTTCAAACTCACTCACAATTGAAAAGCAAACACTTTTTGAAAACACAAATGAGCAAGTATCTAAGAGCCCATGGATAACCATGGATAGAAAGGGTGCTAACACCTTCCCTTTCTATAAATCTACCTCCCGAACCGAGAAACTATCTCATAAGGAATTTTACTGTGCTTTTGTCCTGTCCATGTTGGAGAAAATAAAAGACAGTGGCGACTCTTGCTTCCGCGACATTTCGCGAACCAGCGTTAAACAGTCAGTTCCAGATCCACCGATCACATTGACTATTCATCATTAAAACCCTAACACTTTATTTGTACCTCTTTTACTTCCACACTTACTTGATCGTCGGAGTGCCTTACAGGTACAATCCCTCTTTTTCCTCCTTGACTTTTCAGCCCGTCTGAAGATCATCATCTGACTACCTTACATGTTCTGATCAACTGATAAGATCAAAAATCATCGATACATTCAAGTTTTCTCATACTCTAAACTTGTTTCTTTCATAGCCTCAGTTAAGAACCATTTTCAACACCTCAGAACAATCCCAGTTTAGGATTAAAAAATTAAAATTTTAAAATAAGAGGACTAAAACTTAATAAACTAAATAGAGGGATGAAAGTAATTTAAATTGTAGAGAAAACCATTTTATTGAATGTGAAATGAAGAATTATGATGGTGCCATGGTGAAGTGGAGTGGAGTGGAGGGTAGGTGGGGCCACAGCGAATACAGTAGAATAAACGCGTGAGTCCCGAGGATGGGGTTGGAGTAATTGGTTGGGTTTTTCTGATGATCTAGTCAAGTCAATATTTGTTTCGTACTATTTCAGTTTCATCTATTCAGCTCATCTTTTTTGACTCTCTCTCCATTAACGTCTTCCATCTTCTTCTTCTTCTTCTTTTTTACTTCGCTTTTCTCCTCTTTGTCTACTCAAACAAACAAAAAAATATGTCTACTTCAATTTCTCTGTCTGTCTTATTTCTCCTCTTCCTCCTTCAATCTCCTCTTCCATCTCTCTCAACAAACTCCGAAGGAAACGCTTTACATGCTTTGAGAACCAGACTTTCTGATCCCAACAACGTTCTTCAAAGCTGGGACCCAACTCTTGTTAACTCATGTACTTGGTTCCATGTTACATGCGACTCCAACAACCACGTTATTCGCCTGTAACATTTCTCTTCAGATCCATCCATTTCTTACTTATTGTTACTCTTCTAATCCCTTGTTTATTCTTTCAGAGACTTGGGCAATTCTAACATCTCTGGTTCTTTGGGACCTGAACTTGCCCAATTAACTCACCTTCAGTACTTGTAAGCTACAATTCTAGTATGTGTTATCAGTTATCGCCCAACTAGTAATACAATTTTCTGAATGAAAATGTTTATTATATTTGCAGGGAGTTATATAACAATAATATTAATGGAAAAATTCCCGAGGAACTTGGTAATTTAAAGAATCTTATTAGTATGGATTTGTATGATAATAAATTTGAAGGTAATATCCCAAAGTCCTTTAGCAACTTGAAGACACTTAAATTCCTGTAAGTCTCTGTTTGTGTTCATATATGTTTTTGTTTGATTCAACAAAAATTTGTACATGGGTTTAGTCATGTGTTAATCTCATTTGTAGGAGGCTAAACAACAATAAGCTCACTGGACCTATCCCAAGAGAACTCACTCATCTTAAAAATCTCAAAATTCTGTCAGTATATTTCAATGCCTTTTTTCTTTCTCTATCCAACTTCAATTTCATTTATCAGCTAATTGTGATTTTGCAGTGATGTTTCCAATAATGACCTCTGTGGTACCATACCAGTGGATGGCAGCTTCGGATCTTTCCCAGCAGAAAGGTATTACTACACTTACTGTTTTGTTTTCTAATTGTTAGTCTTGTTGATATTAAGAAATGATAATTGATTTGAATCAAAACCTTTAAGGTACGTAAATACTTTGCAAAGTATCTTGCATCTTAGAACAGTCACTCAAACTTGTATGTTCTTAATATTTGAAACTGAAGTAAATATATGTCTGCTACTTGTGTTTCAGTTTTGAAAATAACGCACTCAACGGCCCAGAACTGAAAGGACTGGTTCCTTATGACTTTGGATGCTAAGAAAGGTTGAAGAATACTGGCCTTCTCAGATTACTATGAAGAGGCTTCTTTACCTGGGCAACTAGTAATATCAGAGATGTATGATTGCTACAAAATGAATCTAAGTATGTCAAAATATATCTAATAGTAAATAAGATGATAGTAGCATCTGTCTCTCTGGTTCTAGGCTGCATAGCAAGACTAGGATCATGTTGAGTGTCAAGAAAATGTGTTTGGTTGTAATTTATTCCTTTTTATATACTTATATCAAGCAAAAGGCTTTAAAATTTTGTTTTTGTTTCCTGAATATTAACCGGACAACAACCCTTTTCATTTTGATGCTCTGCTTTGTTTCAAAACCAAAGAAACACATTTGCTTAAAATTAAAATGCTTTAGAAAATGATTGAATGTGGGGCTTCTAATTATGCTCCTTCAAACTCAAAAGGATCCAAGTGGTTTTCTGCCTAATTCTTCTGTTTAATTTGCATAGTCAAGCACCATGTTGATACAAAATCAGTAAAATACAGCTTTAAAAACGATACTTAGAAAATGCAGCAATCTACAATTGAGAGTGGTGTAAAATTTATTTTAATGGTAGATGTGAAACAAAATCAAATCTCTAAACCATGGTAGATGCAGAAACAAACATATTCAGCCATGCTACAAGTACAACTGCCTCGCTGCTCTTTGAACATTTGTTTTACCCTGACCTCTCTAACAGCATATTCAAAAACCATATTCATTTCTTGCTACCTCAACAAAATATGTAACAATCTTATCATCTTATGTCAAGATAAGATGCTAGCTAGCTTGGGCTAGAATCAGTTTGTATTAACGACAATTCTTCTTCCACAATAGGCAATGGTGAAAAACTCACAAGAAGCTCAGCATCCTTGTTTTCATGATCAACCAATTCTGAAACAATTGGAATACATTCCTGCCAACCATTGGAAGGTGATGAAACTTGTTCAGTTTCAAATAGTAACCAATTTTTATCCTTGGCTTGAATCAAGATTGGGTACAATATAAATCCGAAAATTACTACTGCTCCACTCACAAAGATCGTTCTCATAGACGCCAAACACATTACAAGTATAAGCAACGAAGCAGGAGGCAAACAAAGCATGGCCGCCCAAAATGTTTGCAACGGAACTCTGTACGGTCTGCAAAGATCTGGCTTCTTCAATCTCAATGTTATAAAAGCTGCAAACTCGAGAAGCATTCCTATAGCATATAAGAAATTGAGAAATTCCACTATTTGCTGAAAGCTCATCCATGACAAGAAGATAACTCCAGTAGCAGAGAACAAAATGCTAACAGTTGGTGTTCCATACTTAGACCTAGAAAGTATATTGTAGCATATCAATGTGAGTTCATTTACGCGACTGATAGTAATAATATAGAAAATATCCATTTAAAAGTCGAAACGGTAGGTACTAAAGACACATGAAAACAGATAATAACCTAGTTGCTTATAATACAACCTAATTGAAAGACAAAACAATGGTCACCTACCTTGATGCAAAAAAAGCTGGAAGCAATCCCATTTTGCTCATCCCTAGAAGCTGAAAAGCATCACTACTCATTTCTGCTTCAAACAAACCAAGATTAGACATGGCAGCTGCGGCTTGAATCCACAGTCTAAGCCAAAATCCACCAATCAACATCCCCACTTGAGCAAAATAACCATCCGCCCATTCAGTTGGTGATGAACTCAAAGCACCAGTCCCTGCAAGCAGGGGAATCAAATACGAACACACGACCAAAACTAATCCTCCAAAAAGCGCTTTGGGGAACGTTTTACCCGGATTTTCAACCTCCCCTGCAAGAGTACTAGCTTTATCCCAATAATTCAAATTCCAGAACATGTTATTGAAGTAACCACGCCAATTCACTTTGTTAAAATCAACAACAAACCATCTCCTTGGCCTAACCTTTGGAACAGAAAGAATCGCCATAACAAGAAACGGAGAAAGTGAAAAAACAGCTAAGAAAACAGCAGTGAAACCAACAATGTGAAGGCCTCTATAATTCAAATAAGTAAGTGAAAGAGTGATTCCTAAAAGAGCAGGTATTCTGGCCATCATTAAGTTAAAAATCGGAAAAGAATGCTTCAAGTAATCGAGGAACAAAACAGGGTAAAGAGCATTATCCATGACGCCACTGAACCATTTCCAAAAGCCTTCTTGGAATCCCCAAAAGGGACCAAAAGCGGATGAAATCCAAAGGACATAACCGCCGTTGTGAGGGAAAGTGGTGGCGAGTTCGGCGGTGACGAGAGCTTCAGGAACGCTCCAAATGAGAGGGAAGAATAAGAAACCGAGGAGGGAGAGAAGAGGACCGGCGCCGGCTCTGATAGAATCCTCGATTCCGAAAGGACCGCCGGAGACTTCGTAGAAGATGAGAGCTATCAGAGGCAGTAAAGTTAGTTTTGGATTACTTGCTTCACCCATCAACACAAGAGATCACTGAACAACTGTGATCGATTTTGATTCTTCTTAAGCCACCAAAAATGGATCAAACACGCATCAAGGACACGGTAATTGGATTGTCGACGGATTTACTAACATTTGTTAATAAATTAACCACAACGTAAAATGTCATTTCGTTTTTTTTAATGTAAGGACCATGGTTACTAACATATTTATAGGATTAATTTAGTAAAAATATTATGATATTCTTTAATCTGTATGTAAATTTTTTAAATAATATTCATTTTAAAACAGAGAATACTAAATTTGGGCTAGTTCAAAGTAATTTATGACAAACATTTATTTTAATTAAAGATGGCAAACAAAGTGGTGTGTTTTACTTGGATTCAGATCCTCTCTATTTCTCTAAAGAAATGAAGACGTTAATTGCTATAGTTTTAAATTAAATCAATAATATGATTGCACATATTTTTGGAAATTGTGACATTAAGTAGATATTTATTCACAAAAATCATGGTAACTGAGATATCAATTTCTTCTAGGAAATAGAGAGGATCTCTATCCATTTTTACTTCGATGTATAGAAAGAGGTGTGTGCTTCCTTTTAGATGGACATGCATGTAACTAATATAGCTTACTCAAAATGGTCATAGATGTGTGTTACTTAACCATGTGTCCAAAATCTGGTTCACAATATACAATTTGTAGTTTCTCTTTTTTATGTTAAATTAGCCTTAGAATACTTGGATAGAAATTTGGGCGCATCTCCAAATATGCACTAAGTGATTTTGATTAGAGCCTTAACAACTAACTAATTAACTAATTAAGTTAGTTAGTTAGCTTAGTTATTTGACCAACAAACTACATAAAGTCATTGTATTATTTCATATTTAATTCAATATAATCAACTTACTTCTAGCATCATATTTCTTCTTCTCCATTCTATATGTATTCTTGCTTGCATTACAAGAAATAAAGTGTTGCGCTAACAATTAGTATTACAATTTGATTTTTATACAAGACAAATTTGACTTTGATAGTAGAGCAAATTTATTTCAATATCGTGGAGAGATTTGGTTTTTGATGCATGGGTTGGTGTCGTTGCAAGAGAAACACGAGAAAATTATGAGGGATCATATAATTAAGACACACAAAGTGAGGATTGAATTTTTCAATGTTCTTGATCAGCAAGAATGAACATAAATGGTGGATTTTCATCAAAAATCTTGATTCTTGATGGAAGTAGTTAGAAAAGATTAAATGTTTTAATGAAATCCTTGTTTAGAGATCAGTAAGTGCTTGAGATGAAGCAAAATGGTTATATCAAGAATTAGGAGCAGAACTCATGTATGCACAAAGAGCCTCATTCAAGGAGTTAAAGAAGAAAGATTGTGAGGCTTTGTTCTACTTTCAATAAAACATATATATTTAACTTTTTGAAAATATTTCAAAGGTTACAATATCAAACGAGGCATGAAATATTCTAGATAAATGCCATGATGGTGAAGAAAAGGGGAAGCATGTGAAGCTTAAATCTTTAAGGAAGAAGTATGAGTTGAAGCAGGTGGAAGAGCACAAAAGGATAGGTAACTATTTCTCTAAATTGATTGCAGTAGTGAATCAAACAAAGACTTGTGGTGAAACAATTACTGACCAACAAGTTGTTGAAAATGTGATAAATCCCTGGCTTTAAGGTTTGATTTCATAGTGGTGGCAATTCAAGAATCCAAAGATCTGAAGACTATGAAAATCAAGGAGTTGCAAAGTTCTTTGGAGGCTCATGAACTCATGATGATTGATAGAGGAACTGAGAGTTTGTTCCAACAAGCTTTGTAGGTTCAGTTGGTGAAGAAGATGGTCATAAAAGAAATTTAAAAAAGAAAGGCAAATTGAAGCTTCAAGAGTGGAAGGTGGTCCAACAATGGATAATCAAAGGTTGGTGACAAAGATAAATACTCCAATAGAGAATGAGTATATATCACAAACCAATCAAAGATAAAAGAAAAGTGAAGTGCCACAATATTGAGAAGTTTGAACATTCTGTTGATGAATGTTTACATAAGAAATAATGGAAGAAGAACCTAAGAATGATGAACAAATGTAGATATTCCATGACGAGGACTATTATTAATAGCATTTTTTATAATGGCCACAACCTATGAAGGAAATCCAATATATGAGTTATGGTATCTTGACTCAGTGTGTTCAAATCACAGTTATACTTGCAATGAATAACTTACAAGCTTTGATTCAAGAAGTAAAACAAATTTTATACTTGCAAATAGAAGTTGTATTATCACATAAGGCATATGAAACATTGTAATAAGGAGAGAAAAAAAAGGAAAGAATGCATTTATTAAAAAAAATACTCTATATAATTTGTGCAACCTACTAAGTATACGACAACTAACAAAGAAGCATTTTTCAATTATCATGAATGGTAATTCACTGTGATGATAACTCGTCATAGCATGTTTTAGTCTAATTTCAAGTTATCTTAAGTCCTTTTTTACTTTTAAATTGTTTATGTTTTTTTATAGTTTAATAAAGATTCCAAAGAAACGTGGAAAAGATAAATCCAAATCAATATCATCCTAGCTGTGAAAATTTTATGATATTTTATTGTGGAATTTATGGTGACCAAGCAAATAGAGGACTCACATACAAAAAATGAAAGAAAATAAATAAAAGTTATAAAAACAGCAAGAAATGTGTCGCGTTCATCCAGGAAAACGATGGGATTGGAACAAGGAAACAAGAAAATCAGTTTAAGAAGAAATAATGGTGCACCTATACCATAGTGGCGTGATTTTGAGCCTCTAGGAATAATGTGCCACTATCACAAAGCAGAAGCAATACGTTAAATGTGATAGACTATCACGCCAAACAAGTCTCAAAAATTGCGAGACACTTATAGGGCATAACAACACGATTTTGTGATCTCACAATTTTTCTATATATTATAAAACACGTTTAGTATTTGGATTCTGAATTTAATGATCAAGATGGCATATTTTGAAGAGTTAGAGAAGGGGGGAGGCAAGACATCATTAGAGAATCATCTTTGATCATTTATAAGACTTAATTTCATTTTTTTTATATTGCATTGACCATTCATTTTATAAGGGTAATCCCCTTAGATGATTTTTTTTCAATAATGTGAAACATGTGAGGTGTTTATATTTTCTCTTTGTAATGTACCCTTTGTTATAGTTATTTAATCTAGGTTCAAATTGGGATTGACCACATGAAATGGGTAAAGGATTTGAAGAGGCCACTTAATCGTTTCTATCATTATATTTTCTCTCATTTGTTTAGTTTATCTAAGATTTGCAATTATTGCACAACCAACTCAATTGTGCCACACGCGTCCCAGTTACATTATGTTTTTCATTTTAAAGTAAAATATGTTCTTGTTCTATGTGGATATCTCAAATTTTAGTTTTAGTTCATATTAAAAAATATATATATTTTAGTTCCTACAAAAATTTATGCGTGCAGTTTTAGTCCCTACTTTTTGTTAAATTTTGAAAATTGTTTTATTATCCTTTGTAATACGGTGGCAGAACCGACTGTTATACTGGTTTTGCATTTGTATTTACAAATATTGCGGTAAGCAAGAATCGCCATCGACTTTTCTTTTATCCAATAAAGGAAAGAGTGAAAAAAACAGGAAATATCTTTTTAAAAGATTTTGAGTTCGGGGGTAGGTTATGGAAAGGAAAGGTATTATCACACTTTCCATCTGTAGTTATATACAGGCTCTTAATTGTTAGCTCACTTTTGAAAATGCTTTGTGATGTGTGTTTGAAAATATTTTTGAAAAGACGTCTTACTGCGGAGAACTTTGTAGGATCTCGTATCGTTGAGAATGTATACAAAGTGTTTTGTCTTTGAAAATATTTAGGAAAAAGTTTGTGTATGTGTGAAAAATTGTTTTATTTATTTTTGTGAGCAAGCAACTATGAGATGTCTACCTACTCGAATGGTCTTGTTATTTTCCTCTTTCCTTTAGACAGTGCTACTCTACCATTAGTTAGTAGGTAGCCATATCATTGAATGTTTTGAGAGACAGGCGCGGGTCATCGTACAGTCATTGAAGGCAACTGGTAAGGACGTTTTAGTCATTTCGTTTAAGGGACTAAATCATTTTACCGAAAGGCAACACCGAAGGGTCATCGAGGGACTATGATCTTTTGATTCGAGGGTCTTTGCTAAAGCGTTCCCACTTTCGAGGGACATGACTCTTATTTTCCTATGGCAACAAGTGGAGGCACCTTAGAGGTGCTCGTGTGCGGAGTGTTTTGTGTTTAGTTATTATTTATCTTTGATGTTAAGGTTTTCTAACGTTTTGTTTTTAGATCTTGCCATACACATCCTAGTTACTACACAGTTATATATATATATATATATATATATATATATATATATATATATATATATATATATATATATATATATATATATATATATATATATATATATATATATATATATATATATATATATATATATATATATATATATATATATATATATATATATATATATATATATATATATATATATATATATATATATATAAGTGCGAAAAATAAAATGCGAGAAAGTAAAGACCTACAGCTACTACATCCCATAAGCAGTTACATAATAGAAAAAATGCGAGAAAATGTAAATTACAACTATTACAAAATTACCCGTGCGACCTATACATTTGTTTTCTAGAATTTAAATAGCAAATAAATAATTAAAAAAGAAATTAAAGGACAAAATAAAAAACTAAAATTCTAAGCAAGAAGAAATATTCTTGGCCTTTTTATGAGAAAAAATAATTTTGTGTTAATAATAATTTGAATTTGATTTATGAAAATAAATTAATTATAAAACCCTAATTCTAATTAGTTAATTAATTAAAAAAAGTGATTAAAGTAATTAATTAAAATTAATTTAATTAATAAAAACCTAAGTCTAATATTTTTGTAATTTTTTTATTAAAATAAGATTGATTAAAAAAGAAAATA